ATGTGTTCCCCAGGTGTAGCCCCTGACTTTCCCGCCAGTCCATGCATGAGTGGAAAAGCCACTGGAGACTTGGGCGTTGTTCCCCAAGCCTAGCCGAGCCCAACTAAAACCTTGGCGTGGAGAGCTTTCCTCAAAAAACAAAAACCAAATACTAAAACATCCGGCATGTCACTTATTAAGTTATCGTCTCTGCTCCAAACTCGCCCTTCTAGACTCAGCTGTGTGACACTGGTGGGGACTCTGCGGCCACATTTCAGAGGGCCAGGGGCTGTGCCAGCAGGGAGAACTAGAAGAGGCAAGGCCAGAGGGAGGAGGCTGGAGAGGGACGGGTACTCGCCCCTCAGCCGCGCCTCCCCACCGCGGCGAACACGCCGGCACAGCGGAATGCGTGCTGTGACCCGCATCACATCGGTCTGAACGGCGAGCGGGACAGCCCGTGGGACGCCGGGTGCACGAGGCAGAGGGCACGCGGCGGGCGCAGCCGCACGCCCGGACGACCAGGCCAATGGAGACGAAGGCGCCGGTGGTCAGACACGGACCCAGGACGCGACACCCTCTGCAGGACCCACGCCTAGACGCCACCCCAGGGAGACCCGGAATCGCTTCAGAACGTTCCAGCGGAGGGATTAGAGTCTGATGGCCGGTGGATTGCGGGCTCAGCAACAATGGATTGGCTTAAGACGGCGGGCAGACAGCTCCGCGGCCTCCGCGCCACAGCCGCGCCGAGCTGGCCCCACCCCGCACCCGCAGCTGCCCCGGGGCCCTAACCCCGCCTGAGCCGACTCTCCGGGTCTCACAAGGCCCCACCGGAAGTCCCTCCTCCGGCCCCCCCGCCCCCCGGCCGCTCTGGCCCGAGCGGGCTCTTCTCGCTGGTGGGCTCGGCACGGCCCAGCTGCACGGCGCTCCTCCGGCCGCGAGGGGCGTGCGAGGCCGCGTCAGGGCCCCTCTGGTCCGCGGCGGCCGCTCGACTGCTCCGCGGCGCCGTCCCGACGCCGGCCGAGCCCCCCCCCCCCCCCCCCA